AACGGCATGTAAGCATAATATCACCGATGCAATAAATGTGGATGTTTCTTTGAAAAGCCTTCTTGAAAAGATTCTCTGTAATGATTAATATTCCTGTACCTGGCTCTTCTCCTAGAAAGCAGTCATAGAAAACGATCTTTCTTTGATGTGAATGAGATTTACTGCAGTCTATTAAGCAGTTTCATGTCCAGGAAAATGCCTTCATTGGGCCTCAAAGACTTCATATTTTCACCCTGTATCATCAAAATATTTCAATAGATACATCTTTATTTTGAAATGGAATGCATATTGAAAAATAAATCACATTTCTCTGAAATCATTTGAATCATATTTACACATATTTGATAACACTTGTTTCAGCTCACAATATACCAGAAAACATTTGGTACATCACTGCAACTAAATTACAGAAACTGGTATTTGCAAATCATGAACCTTAATTTAACAAAACAAAAACAGGGAAGGGGGAAGAAAAGGTGGATGAGAGAATGAGGTTACTTCAAGAGTGTACAGTGGTGCCCCACTATATGCTTTCCCCGCATGACATTGAAATTGCTTCACGATGACATTTTGCGATCGCATTTTTGCGGGGAAATCTGCTTGATGTCGATTAGGAGCCTGCTTTGTGAACCGTTTGTTCGCTTAACAACGATTTTTCCAGCTCCGCAAAATAGCTTCCCTCCGCAAAATGGCTTCCCTCCGCAAAATGGCTGCTTCTAGAGGGAAGCTTCGCATTACAGTGACTTTGAACAGCTGATTGGCGGTTCTCTATGGGCAATCTTTGCTGGACAATGAGCTATTTCCCTATTGGAACGCATTGACCAGTTTTCACTGCATTCCAATAGGGTTTTGTCTTCCATTTTTTCTGGGGGGGGGGAAATATTTTTTCATTTGCAGTGTTGACAAGCAAATGCCACTCTGAATACACAGACCTCATCTGATATCGGAAGCTAAGCAGGGTTGGATCTAGTTAGAACTTAGACAAGAGACCCACGAGGAAGTAACAAGGATCTTCAGAGAGGGCTAGGAAAGATTCCAGTCTGAAACACCTAACAGCTACTGATATCAAGAGTTGACATTGCTGGGCTACATGGACCAATGGTCTCACTCAACATAAGACAGCTTCCTATGTTTTAGTGAGAGACATATATGAAACAGAAGACCTCTTATTTTTCACCATTCACTCATCCATTCATTTCCACCACCAGTGTAAAGCCACTTTTTACCAACATGGGAGGCTACTGGAAAATGAGTCACTGCATATGGCTCTACCTGTACATGTCTCTATATTGTGGTGAGCATCACACAGGGGAGAAAACAACAACAAAGACACATATGCAAGAACCATATGTTATTTAACAATTTCCTTGCTAAATTATGGCCTTTTCCTTATGTCACTGGCTCATTTACATGGCACCAGCCCAGCACAGAGATAGGTCATGCTAACTATGAACCTTGCAACTTTTTGGTTAATGAATAATTTCATACTAGGCTTAATTAAGATGGGACTCCATTCCTCATAAGCTATCATTACTTAATTTCCATTGTGCCATCCTCTGCCTTACTTTATTTAAATCTATGTTGTTTCACATTCTGAAATGGTTACATTGCTTATAAACCCCACATGGGATTTAAAGCCAGAACTAAGGCAATTATGTACTTGGAGGCAAAGGTACTAATTTTTATGAGACCTACAGGACACTGATATGGGACAGTGCAAAAAGAAAGCCCTGGGAAGTACTCCCAATAAGTAAGGGATAGGATTGTAATGTTACTTCCCAATAAACATGGCTTAGGATTGGAGCCTCATGTGCAATTTTATACGTGTCCACCCATATATCAAATGTATATAGCACTGTAGTGCAGATGTATAATTCTGCTGGTCTTGAACAGTATAGGCCCGGCCTCATGTTTCCTAGACAGACATTTCTCTGCATCAGAGACCTAGCAACATCCTAAGTCAGTCTCCTCCAATGTGGTACCCAGCATATATTTAGGACTATAATAACACTTTAAAACAGTCACTGAGGATGAACACAGTTATAGTACAAAACATCTGGAGGATATCAGACTCCAGATAGCTGATTTAAGTGATTATGGTAGAAAATTATTTTACATCTTACAGGTGGTATGAAATGAAGCAAACTTAATGAACACTAGATAAAGAAAAATAAATAATGGTACCCTGCTTCAATATACATATAGTACCAATACCAAAAGTATAAAATAAGGATAAGAAATCTTGCCCTTTAGGGAGATGTGGCTGAAAATTACAAACTATTAAGACACTTATTCCTTGTGGTGAGAAAATAATCCCCAAATTTTCCTAAATTTTGTTCTCAGGCGACTAGAATGAGATATTTTATTCATGGGCCTTTACCATAGTCAAGTATGCCCATGTAAGCTCCTAACATCTCTGTGGACATCATTGTCTGAATCCACCAAACCTAATATGAAATGAGATCAAAGTTTTCCCATCATCTTGTACAAAATAAAGGTGGTATGTGGTATGATTAAATTTCCACTATTTTGCTTGATGCTGCCTTGTTCAATACAATACTGAGAAGATATGTTAGTTTGAGCTAGTCCTAAAAGAACTGGTGTGAAATTTCATATTTTGTTATGACCGAAGATTATAATATGTTTGTAAATCTCCCTGTATTCTTTCATCCAGTTAACCATTAAGTAGATCCCTTGCACTAGAATGAATAGATTAACAGTTCTGCTTTTCAAAAGAAGCCTTACTAGAAGCCTTAGCGGTGCCCCACTGATGGTAAACAACACCCATAAAGCAAGAACAGAATGTCTCTTATTAAGCTAACAAAACTCAGCTGTTCCATAATTGAAATTCCCCCATGTTCTTACAGGCTTTATAGTGCTTTGTGGTTTTTTAAAGTAGTTGTTTCTGGAAGAAGTTTCAATTGCAGCAAGGAGCTATGGAAAAACTTGCAGTGAGCCTCATCTATGAAACCCTGTTATAAGAATGATGAGTAAACTATTTGGCTAAACAGTTTTAAGACATTGTGGTTGTGACAACTGTAGTTCAGAATGACAAATAAAACATTACGAAGAGTATCCCACATTTATACAAAGTGCAATAAACAGTTCTTGGCATGGTTCAGCTATCAGAATACTATTGAAAAAGAATGCTATATTAACAGTGTAAATCTGTTCTCCTTCATAGTCAAGTCTGATTTTCTTAGCCTGTTCATAAACCTGAATACATAACTGTGGCATTCCTCAAAATATTTAGTATACATGGAGTATAAAACACAATATGCTTTGTACAAATTATAATAAAATGAAAACAGCTAGACCTTTCAAGAGGCTCTTCTTATGAATTAAAGTGTTGACACAAACACTTTATAAGCACATTGGGAAATATTTCAGACATTCGTTTGGTACATCTTCCACTTGAGATGCAAACTGGTGTAAAAGAATATATGAAAAACTAGTTGGATAGTTTGTATTCTTCTCAAGCCAATGTCCTCTTCCTTCTTCAATTTCTTCCTCTTGATGTTTGGAGGTTACTAATTTATAGGGTTGTGATAAGTTGGGAGCGAATTGATAGCACACTAAGAAAAGTACTATATATGCCAATGCTAGCATGTTCTTCACTTTATTTTTTCTAAATTGCCTACATTCAAAAATATCTTGCAGACAATCTGAATTCCTCCTCCCACTAATAAATAAACATAAACATTAAAATAGACAGAATAAAATGACAACATAGCAAATGTCCTTGGAGCCCCATTAGGTCAAATAATCCTTTCAAAAGTAGTAGTCAAAGGCTGCTATGGAGCTGAAATGCTTTTCCAGAGCAATTATGGGTGGTGTCACTACTGGGATGATTCCAGGTGCTGAACAGATGCTCTTCCTTGTATCTCTGCTCCTGTTGTTTGCCAGATTTGTGATCAACAGAAACAGGGTCCCCTGGCTTCCAGAAGCATCCCTTGAATTCAATCTACAACAACACAGGACAGCAATCTGAATAACATAGCACACTCCACTTTTATGACAGACAAGCCTAATGCAGTACTTGCCCTCTGAAATACAGAAGCAAGAGGGAAAAAGATGAAATCCCTTGCAAATTATCCTTGTAAAGAGGCAGCAACCTTAGGCATCCCTCCTGCACAACTAGGCTTGAGTTCCAGCGAAACACAAAACCACAGTCCATTCACACATCTCTTGTACTACACATACAAGCTGCTATCTTGTCTACATCTTTCCAAAAGGCCATCAGAACTTGTGAACTGGATGGCTGCAAATATGGCTAGCAATATTATGACTTTTCACTGTTGCAACAGTACTGTAACCATGCAAATTGTGGCAAACCACGCACATGTATAGACTTATCGATCTGATGATGTGTCAAAACAATTATTTTCTGGGAAATTGGGCTGGGGTGGGGGGGAATATAGTATGTGTACATGGTCTAAGAGGTCAACTAGCTAAGTCACCTGTGTTTCTAAGACATCCTGAATGACCACTGTGCTCTCCCACTTCAGTCTAGCCACCTGCAAACTACCTGAAAGCATGAGCACATACCAGATGTCATGTTGGAAAATGCCTGAAGAGTTGATAGAAACTGTTAAATCTAGTTACTAGACAAGCAACGTGGGGCCGCACAAGGTTAACAGATGATCCTATTCACACCTGCTTCACCTTACTTTTAACTATACAGGAAAAGGAAAAGTCCCAATCCACCAGTAAACACATAAAACCGGCATCACCATCCTGTGGGACTGTCTCTCTCACTCTCTCACATTCACATGCCGGCGAGCACCGCACTCAGTGCAGACACCTGCAACTTTGACAGGAGACCCCCTTGGCTTTT